ATCTGTATTTTCTAAGTAATACAACAAGCAAAAGCTTAAACACATGTCAATTTTCAGGTATCTTAGACCAAAAGGTTTCATCATGAATTTAGTAGCATAAAAGTTCTCTTTCAGCCTATTCCTTTTAGATAAAATGTTTGTCATATATTCGATGATTTTATCATAACTAACATCGCTCAACCTATAAACTAACTTGATGGTGAACATATATTTAATTGCTGATAATTTACTATGATTTGAGCAACTATCCCATAATGGTTTGTCAGAATCTTCAAAAGATGAATAAACCTTGTTGATTCTGCATTTAGTTCTTCATTTATGATCAAAAGATGAATAAACCTTGCTGATTCTGCATTTAGTTCTTCATTTATGATTGAATATTCACTTGCATCATCCTAATTTATTATAATTGCATTCATAATCATACTCCTATAATGATAATTATTATCATCTACAACTTCATACATGTTGCTAGTACTAGAAGTTGACCCAACTACTTTTTTTTATCATGGTCTTGTAAAGAAAATATGATTCTCCATATACAAATTAACACAAGTATTTCTCTGTGAATCTTTTTATAAAAGATGCATTGTAACAACATCTAAATCGGGAAAATTTTTATTTTCACTCGTCTTATATGAACATCTAATATCATCTCTACTAATATCTTTTAGATTAGATAGTGTGCATTTAATAAAACTCTTAACCCCATTACAATAATCCATCTTGCGTAACCCTTCAAGTAAAACTCAATACATCTAAGAATAATCATCTCTTACTTTTATAAAACTTATATAGAATATTGATGATGACATTTATTAATTAATAATGTGAACAAAATAAATTATTGTTGCCCAACTAATTGGTTATCATTAGTTTAACTAAAACTTGTTCAATTTATCTTAATAGTACCCGTAAATTATTATTAGTTTTCTACAAAAACTCAAATCCCTCTAAATTTATCTAAATTTTCAACTTGACAATAAAATTGACAAAATGTGAAATGTACTTATTAAATAAACTGTTATTTATTTCAATATAAAACACATAAGTTATAAAATCAAATTCAAATTCAGCAAATGACAAACAAATATAATTTTTTTAAATCTCAAATAAACCTTAAAATGTACAAATCATATATCCATACAACAAATTTATATGAGAAAAGGCTATAAAACAAATAAACACACAAACAAACTATATATATTACATTGAAATGCCAAAAAAAATATTAAAATTTTAAAAATGGATTACAATAAAAAAAAATGGGTAGTTTTGGTTACTTGATGTGGAGAATCTTATAAAAAATAAACCAAAACAGAAATGCTGACAAACTAAGTGTTGGGTGGCCAGATTTGTAATGATAAAAGCTTAATTTGTGATAAAAACATGAGGGTCTTGTGATTTGTTTTCTACAAAAAAAGAAGAAGAAATGAAAGAAAAGGGATGTCTATCAGCTAATTATAACTTAAATATTAACAAAGAATTTACCTATGATGGACATATTTTCTCGGTAATTTTATTTTTAATAATGATATATTATTTTTTATTATTATTTTTTATTTTTAATTATAATTTTCTTAATATTCACCAGTAAAAAAATATAATATTCTGTAAAAAGAAAATCACTATTATTCATACGTAGCATATACATCATAAAGATATGCATAGTAGTTTAAACTTTAAAGAGAGAAACGAAAGAGACAGAGAAAGAAGTGAAAGAATTAAATACGTGAGGAATCCTATAAGCCACCACGTCATTTTTTCATAAAAGTTCACAATGATTGATTATTAGTGTTTTCCCATCGTTCTAGTATAAATGCATTCAATTCTAAATACTATATTTTTAGTTTGGTTAATTAAATTTTATATTCTCTAATTCATTCAATTAATTGAATTTATGCAATTAGTAACCCCCTATGTTCCCTAAATCTATTCAATTAACTCAGTAGCATTATTAAGTATTTATGTATAATTTATGTCACAATAAGTTATCTTAGAAGATATATTTATTAAATTAATTGGCCAAGTTCAGGGAACAAAGGTAAATTGAATAAAAACAACCCCCTAGTCCATTACAAACACTTCTAAAGCCTAATTCAGCACAGGAGAATTATAAAAAGCCCAAAAAATAGTTCAAAAAACCTTAGGCCCATACCAAGCCCAAACCGAGAGCACTGCCTTCTTTCTTTTCTGCATTAGATAATTAAAAAGATTGTTTCAGAAAGAGTACATTCACTTACAAAATTTCAATGATTAAAGCCTATTCCATTGTGATGGATCAATATTTCTTGCACTTTATTAATTATAAATTGTATTCATAATTAAAGTTGTTTAATTAGCATATTTCTTGCACATTATGAATAAAACATAATTAAGGTAACATAAAATGCAAATTCGTAGGTATGTGTGGCCCTAATTCTAAGGAATTTTCACACATTAATTCATCCATCCATCACACAAAAGATGAAATAAGCAACCAAAAATGGCACTAATTCTTGGATAGTTAATATCTACACTTGGCAACTAAAAAAAAGGGATGAAACTAGGCAAACTAACATCTTCAAACGTTGAAGACGGAGGTTTTTCTTCAAAGTGAGGATTAGTTACTCTCTTCATTAATTTAAATTAACGCATTCTCTAAGAAGAGAATGAGAGGATGACGAGGCTAGCAAAGGGAAGCCAACAAGTAAATAACTTTAAAAAATTATTATAAATAAATAATAAATTCTAAGAACAAAAGTGTATGTTCTTATTTTGATATTATAAATGCTCTAAAATTTAAAAGTATTAATATTTAAAGAATAGAAATTATAAAGTTTTTATTTAGGTATTTCAAGAGGTATTTATAATCTTTAAACTCTGTTATCTTAAGTAAAGTGTGATGGTTGGAGGGTTATTTTCTTCTAATAGCATTAACGAGAGATAACTATCTTTTACACAAAATTAACAAGAAATAAATATTTCTAACATAATATTAATAATATTCCTGACATTAATATTTTATTTTAAAAATCATAAGAATAAATAAATAGAGTTTTATAGCCAACATATAACCTATAATGATCTTCAAACTTTTTATCCTCTACACTTGACATATTACCAAACCTATGATTAATGGGTATGGTAGCGAACTAAACTCATACCTAGATAGGTTTGGCACACAACCAAGGTCAAAGTTGATAAGTCAAGAGGGGCACTAGATCCATGTCCAAATAAGCTCGACGCGTAGTTAAGCCCAAGAAAGTTGTGTCTGACACATTTGAGCTCAATAAGTTGTTGAATCTAGGAATGTTGAGTCTTAAACCTCATAAAATCCATGTCTATTTAGGCTCAGCACATAGCAAAAGTTCAAGGGGATTGACTCTAACAGCTCGTTAAACTTATGCCTGCTTCGGCTCAGCACGTAACCGAATTCAAGGATGCTAGATCTGACAGTTTAGCAAACTCATGTTTGCTTAAACCCATCATGTAACTGACTTAGGGACTTTAGGTCTAGTAACTAGGCAAACTCACACTTGCTTAGGCTTAGCATGTATCTGAACTAAATACTTTGAATTTGACAACTCGTCAAATTCATGTTCGTTTAAACTCAGCAAATAGCTGATCTCAAAGACATCAAGCTTAGTAGCTCACAGTATCCGTATCTACCTGAACTCATGTAACAGCTCGGTAAGTAACTCAACCTAAAAATATTGGATCTAAAAGCTTGTCAGAACCATGTCTATTTGAATTTAACACATAGAAATTAAATAAAAAGTCAATTGAGTTAACTCATTTTTGCTTTAAATTTTATTTAGTAGCTATTTGCATAGGATAATTTATTTATGAAATGTGTTGTACTTTAAATGACAGTATTGAGCCTAATATATTTTATCTCTTCTTTTTCTCTAGAATTTTAAAATATTAAAATGTCCATTTTAACTAATAATAACTCTCATTAATTAGTATTAGAATTTAATCATTTATAATGATTAGTTATTGTGCACTATGAGGGATTCATGATGGTATGATTCACATAAAAATATAAATCATTATAGGTTTTTTATATGAATATATTAGAGATCCACAATAAGATGTCAGTATATATAAATAGTGAAAATGATTTCTAACTAAGATATGAACTTAACCATAAGTTTTCTCTTTACTAAGATATGAACTTAACCACAAGTTTTTTTTTCTAAACTAGAAAAATTAATACATGAGTTATTTTAGAAATATAAAAAATTTTCTTAGTTAGTTTTATTTTTTTATTTTATATTATTATGTTTTTCTAGTTTTTTTTCTATTTGAATAGTTTTCTAGTTTATTTCTTCTATTTAGTATTATTAGAATTGATTTATTAATTTTTTCTATGTAAATGATTGTAATAATATTTTAATAAATGAGATATAAATAAATAAAATTAAGTATTTTGAAAAACTCTTCTTGCTTTTTAATGTTTTAGTATATAATAAATCCTTTTATTCTTCACTCTCAACTGTGAAATGACTTGTGATATTTCAAAAATAAAATTTAAAATAGTATAAAATATATGAATATTTACTCTAGTAAGAAATATTTCATCCTAATCAGATGAAATAAAATAGTATTGACAAGCATGATCTATCCATTCTCCATTACTACGGGTGCAAAAATTGTAAATTGTAAGTATAGTTTAATAAAACTAATTAATTAATCCTTATAATTCAAAAAATTATATATGTAATTTTTATAATATTAAATTTGATTATAATTTTTTTTACCAATCTCATGTTTTTTAATGAATTAATTTTTTTATTTATTAAAAATTAGAATAAAGAAAATAAAAATAATTAAAATGGGAAAATTTAAAGAGGAAAAAATTACTAAATTATGGTGGGTCCACGCGAATGAAGGTATAATCTTAATTATTTATTATACTATATGGATTAATTAGTTAAAGTTAATAGACCATAGGGACTAGTTTATAATTAAGTCGTCCCCTAAGGAAACCGATTGTTTCATTCCATAATAATAACAAAAATAATAATAATTGCGTAATTGCACCACCACCAGCAACGTTTTTGTGGTGTCGGTGAGACCCCCCAGTTTTGCATGCGACGAAACAATCAGACGCCTCTCAGTTGTTCTCTCCCTCTCCCTCTCCCTAATATTCCTAGTTTCTTTGGATCCCTTCGATTTTTTAGTTCTCTCTTCTGAGAAATAATAAAAACTAATTTCCCATTCATATTTATCGGATCTGATCTGATCTTAATGGCGGCTTCCAGGCGTCTTCGGGAGCTTCAATCGCAACCAGCCAATAAGATCTGCGTCGACTGTTCCCAAAAGAACCCACAGTGGGCTTCTGTTTCTTACGGTGTCTTCATGTGCTTAGAGTGCTCCGGCAAACACCGTGGCCTCGGTGTCCACATCTCCTTCGTCCGATCTGTCACCATGGATTCCTGGTCCGAGATCCAGATCAAGAAGATGGAATCCGGCGGAAATGACAAGCTTAATGCCTTCTTAGCTCAATACGGTATCCCTAAAGAAACAGATATCGTAGCCAAATACGACACTTACGCCGCTAGCGTTTATCGTGATCGGATCCAAGCACTAGCGGATGGACGATCTTGGAGGGACCCACCGATCGTTAAAGAAACTATTGGTAGCAAGAAAAAGCCCCCGCTGTCTCAATCTGGTTCAGCCGGCGGTGGCAGAGATAGTTATTCTAGTAATAATGGAGGGTGGGATAATTGGGATAACGATGATTCGCTCGGATCTTCTTCTAGTGATGTAAGGAGGAATCAATCTGTTAGCGATTTTAGGGGGGGAAATACTGGTGGTGGCGGTGGCCATGCAAGGGGAGGGCCTGTGAGGTCGAGATCCACGGAGGATATCTATACGAGGTCGCAATTGGAGGCTTCTGCGGCGAATAAAGAAAGCTTTTTTGCTAGGAGAATGGCAGATAATGAGTCGAGATCTGACGCTATCCCCCCTTCACAAGGTGGGAAGTATGTGGGATTTGGATCTAGTCCTGCACCTACGCAAAGGAATAATAATTCGCAACAGGATGTTCTCTCTGCTGTGTCACAGGTATTTTGCTGGAGTTTTTTTTTTTTGTGTGTGGATAAAAATGATTGAATGATTGGTGATCTACTTGTTTGTGTGGACTTGTTATGCAGGGATTTGGTAAGTTATCTTTGGTGGCTGCATCTGCGGCTCAGTCAGCTGCAAATGTTGTCCATGCCAGCACAAAAGAATTAACTTCCAAGGTATTTGGATTTGTTTCTCTAGCTAGTATTAAGGCATGTTTGTTATTTCTTCTTTTGAGATCTGCCATTTTGAGTTTTGGATATCCTAGGATTGCTATGAAGCATTGCAGCATTGAATTTCGAATTAGTTACCTAGTCAATGAACCTAGAGAATAATATGATTCTCATAAGCATGGAGATCTATTTATCATCCTGTAATATCAGTGCCTGCTTTTTTGTTCTATTATAAATAGATAATAGATCCCCTCCTTTACTTACATTAAGTTTAGTGATAGAACAATACTGATATTGCTTAGCAGATCAACCTTGTGTTGTCTGTGTGTAGAGGGAGGTGGTCATCATTGTAAGTGCTAAGAAGTCTTGGTTAAAGCACTTGTCTTTTTTACAGTGGAGAGAATTGTGCATGATTTCAAGTAGTTGCTAATGACTGTGTGGGAAATAGCACCAATTTCTGCCATACTAACTTAGATGATAGAGGTTTTTGTGGTATATGGGGACTGTAAGGTGATTAACTGATGGTAGTAAGTGATCATCTCAACTGATCATAAGAGTGCTTAAGACTGCTGTGATGGTGAATGGTTGAAATTTTGGTAATTAAGAAACTATTATTTTTCAATATGATTTTTTTCCCATAAACTAGAGAACTGATTGGCATACAAGGACCATTTTGAGAAGTTAGTATGCTGTTATGATATGGCTAATATCTTGCCAGTGATTTATTAGCTGAATGGGGTAGATTTTCCAATTATTGGTAGCATGCATGTTTTTCTAGTTATACTAGGGGATCAAAGTTGAGATTTTTATCGCCATCTCCTTGATTTCTGTCCACCTATCCATTTCCTATGCACAAAAATTCCCTTTTATATATTATAAATTTTGTTATGGTGGTTGAGGGGGTTCAGTCAAGTTTAAAACTTTTTACTTGCATAAAGAAACTCATTTATTAAGACATCCAAAAGTTTGAAGGGGCGGCAATGTTCGAGTATATGTAGAATAAGAGACGTCCTATCTAGAGGTTCAACTCCATTTATAAACCCATCATTTAAGCCTGTTTGTTAGTTTATTGAAAACTGTTTATTTCTAGTATATTTAGAAGAAGAGAACCATTGACTAGAGTTTTAACTCCATTTATAGACTTGTATGTATGGCTTGTTTGGTAGTTTGCTTAGAACTGTTTATTGTTTTTTAAGAAGGTATGTGAAGTAGAAATTGTTGTCTAAGATTTATTTTAAGAAATATAAACATATATTATTACCTTAAGAAATATAAAAGCTAGGAGTAACAACACACTGTAGTTATGGTGATGAGATAGTGGTAATGAGGTGGCGGTAGCTGTGAAGGCATGATAGTGTTGCTGTGGTGGTGATGGCTATTAGTGGTGATGATGAATGCAGCAATAGCAAATTGATGGTGGTGTTATTTTATTTTCAATGAGTGGTGGTGGTAGTGTAGTAGGATAGTAGTGTAGTGGCAGTGTAGTAGGATAGTAAGTGTAGTGGCAGCCACAACTTGGCAAGAATAATGATAGTTAGAGCATGGGTGGTGGTTTTAGTGGGTGATAATGATGGTGGTGGTTATGCTAGTATGCTAGTGGTATACATGCAAGGTTATAATGGTCATGGTGTTGGTAGTGCTTGTGCATTTGATGATCATGGTGGTAGTGGTAGGAGGTGGTGGTGATGATAATGATGGTTTAATAGCATAGTATACCCTTGTACTCTTAAATTTATACAAGTTTTGTTCTTTTATGAATATTTCGACGGATTGAATCCCTGTATCCTTTGTTTCATTAAGGATTTAGTCTTGCCTCGCTCATTTCAATTGGAGTGGGTAGATGTTGAGCACATGAGATGTTATATTGCTAAGAAATGACACATCTTAAATAAAAATAATGTAAATACAATAAACTGAAGAGAGAATTTAAAGAAATAAAAACTTGAATTCTCTCTCCACACCGAAACCTAGATAATCTTGTAAGTGAGTGTTATGGAGGAGCTAGTGTGGTTTCTTAGTGAGCAAGAGGAAGAGTGAGTTGTGTTTTGTGTAGGTTAGTTTCATTTCCTTTACGTGATGGAGAATTTAGATTTGTCTTGAGTTTTTCTTTTTCCTTTTCTTTTTACAAATTTCTAATTCTTTCATTCTGGTCTAAGTGATTGGTGTCAATACTTTTTACCATCTGCTTGCATAAGTTCATTTAACTTTTTAACAGCTGGTCTATTCAATTTTGATTTTTCAATGGGATATGTTTTCTTTTCCTTCTTTTTCTTTATTTTTCATTATTCTCACCTTTCATGGGTTGATGGGAAAAATAGATATCAGTGCCATTGTTATGTTCTATTTCTCCAATTTCTCGTTTTATTTATTTTTTGCATCATTTTAATTGATAAAAGTGTCCGTTTACAGCATGTGTCAATTGACAGAAGTGGATGAAGGATAAACATTGTAATAGAACTAAGAGTGTAGGGGCTCATCTATAAGAAAAATTGGATTATGAAGAGCTTAAAATTTATAGAGCACAAGGACAAACTATAGCATTCACTAGGTGATGAGTGATGGGGAGAGTGGTGGCCATGGTAATGGTGGTGGTTGTATTATGACAACGGTTTGGTTGCTATGTTGATATGGCGGTAGTTGGAATGGTTGTGGTTGTGGTGGTGTTTCTGTTGGTCATATTGGTAGTGTGATATCCTGCCAATAGAAATCATATAAATATTTTTTGTTTAAAAAATATCTTACAGTTTTTAAAATTGTTTAGTAAAATATAAACGGTAACCAAACATGATTTCTATTTTTCTCCTAGAAAAATATATGAAACTAGAAATTGATGGTTCCCTACAACGGCTTAGGTTTTCTTCTCTCTTCTCTCTTTTTTCTTTTTTTGGTTCATTGTTATGATTTCAATGATTTTACAAATTCATCAGAGTTTTTCTATTGTGAAAACATAAGACTTTCTTTGTATCATTTCCAAAGAAGTTAAAAAATTGGGCGGACAGATAAAGGCTATTCTTTGTTTGCCATCACTGTGACATGTAGAAAAAAAATATTATGGTATTTCCTTTCTTACATCATTCTTAAATTAATGACTTTTTATATATCAAAGTGGGCATTGCTGTTTTGATATGGTTGGACTGGGTGCATTAATGAGATGAAGCAATTGAATTGGAATATTGGGAGTTGTGCGGGGAAAAGCAAGGCAAGTAATGTCGTGGGATGAAGTGGTAAAAAATGTATTCAATATCATTACATCTGAGTTTAACCTGGAGAAGAATGCGCATCTGATTTTGAGTTTGATTTGGCTCCATTCTCTTCTTTGACAAATTTATTATATTAAGCAATTGATTTGGCACAATTCTTAATGTTGTTTTATGATGCAACTGGGGTGGTGTTCAACCGGAAACAAATCAATATGTCCTATTGTTTAGATGAAAAAAAACACAGAACAGTAGCGATTCATTATTGGTTGCCTTGAATGGGTAAAAAATGATGTTGGGTGAAGTGATAAAGAGTGAGATAGTGTCACAGCAGCGTGCACATGTTTAGCCACAGAAAAAGTGAAGAGAGGAGTGGATCCATGTAGATCACCAACTGCATGGGTTTGAAGCTTAGTTGAGTTGTTTGTTCTCTTATCTTTGTCCTATCACTTTGTTTTTGTCTCAACATATTAAATCATTTCTGTGTTGCATACATCTGTCCCCATTTGCTTCAAAAACTTATTTTTGATGATAAAATTGAATTAGATTAAGGTGGTCCGTGAATAAACCTTTATTACAGGTGAAGGAAGGTGGCTATGATTACAAGGTGAATGAAACTGTCAATGTTGTTACTGCAAAAACAACGGAAATTGGACAGAGGACATGGGGGATTATGAAAGGGGTAATGGCAATAGCTTCGCAGAAGGTTGAGGAGTACACTAAAGAAGGCCGGAACACTGACAACTGGCAACGGAGTGATAATCAGAGTAATGGATATTATCAAGAGTTTAATAAGCAGGAAAATAAAGGATGGAACTCTTCTTCTGGTGGACAGTACTCAAGTGGTCATCATAATTCCTATGGCTCAAGTTCTTGGGATGACTGGGACCAGAAAGACAACAAGACTGAAGATAGCATAAAGTCTACTGCCTCGCATAGCAATGATGGTTGGGCAGGTTGGGATGATGCCAAAGATGATGGATATGATGATAATATCTACCAGAGTGTTCCCAGTGCAAAATCCGCTAGTCACAATGGAAAGTCAGATGCCTCATGGACAGGGGGAGGCTTTCTTTAGGTATGTTTTTAACTCAATATTTTTCTTTTGTTCTTAGATCTTTGTAAAATTTGCTGGGAAATGGAAAAGGCTTCATTGTTTGGAATGATCTCCGCTAACTTGTATATTGCTTGCTATTCCTGTTATCAGGTAGATTCATATTACATTCTCGCCAAAACCCTGGTCTTTTCTGAAATATTGGTTAGTTCATGAACGGATGCTTGGCAGGCTGCGATGATGACACACTAGTGTTGATATGAATTTACACTATGGCGCAGCTGATTAGAAAACTATCGGCCGGATGTCTTGTATCATGTGGGTGGGAAATGGTGTGTTTAGATTGCTACATCTTCTGCAACTTTTTTTTCCCTTTTAATTCTTTTTTTTATTTCAAAAAATCTCTATGAACGTCTCAGTTTATGGTGTGTTTGAAATTAGTTTATATAAACGAGGAGGCGCTGGTTGCCCAAATCGAAAGAGGACTGCTCTTTCTATGCGAGGACATCATCATGTGACTTGAAAAGTCAGCATTTCTTTGTAATTGGGATGCCTAATCAATTATTGTTTTCTTTTTCTTTTTCTTTTTCCTTTTCTTGGGGATCATGACTCCGATTCCATGTCTTCCCCTTTTGAAATCATTAAATGCAGTCTGCTTCGGGGGCCAATGGTCTGTTCAGCTGAAAAGCCTGTTAGCCTTTTGTTTTGAAATAGTTAGCTTGGTATTGTGATGGTTATTTGTTTGGAAATGAATTGAAATAATATTTATTTTTTTAATTTGTTTTTAGCAATAGTATACTAAAATGATTTAGAAATATATATAAAAAAGTAATTTTTACAAAAATGCTTTCCAACCAAGCCAAAGAGTTATCAGCCAAGCCAAAGGGAATTAGAGCCGTGCATAGATTAGATATAAGTGGAACGAATACGTGGATGATTGATGCAAGCTTCCAGGTATAATGCCTCCCATGTGTAAAAACAAGTATGAATATGGTTCATATTTAAAGTGTTATTTGCCTTTATAATAAATATAAAGTAATTGTTATTGAATTCAAACAAATACACTTCCAAGAATATATAAAGAAAATGATATTTCTCGTCTCTTTATAAGAAAATCTCCAAGAACATTAATGAGCTTCCTGGAAAAAACTTTAAGGAAATTATCGTATTTATAGCTTGCAAGCAACCTTCAACTACATTTTATAGTTTTTGAATGGTTACTTACAGCCCATTAAAATCTAACTACTTCAATTACTCAATATAAGCTAGAGATGTAGTGATTTGATAGTCTTGTTGAAGTTTTTTTTAATATTTTTTAATTAAAAATATATTAAAATATTTTTTTTATTTTAAATATTAATTTGTGATATTAGAACATCAAAATGATTAATTTAAAATTTTATTATTGGTAATAAAATAAAAATTAATTTAAATAAAAAAAAATTAAAATTTCATGAAAAGCTGGCACACCACAACCAGATAATTTTACTGCCATGAAATAAAAAAAAAAAAATTCGGTAATTAGAAAAGCTCTCTATTCTTATAAAAAAAAACATTAAAATAACCAAATCTATACACGGCTCTAATTCCCTAGATTGTCTTAAAAAAGAAAGAAAGGAGATAAAAAATATGAGAGGTTATTGAAGCTGTTTATCGTGTCACTGACGCTCACTTTCCTTAGGTGATTAGCTTTCTTCAACACTCGTGTATGTAACTCAATTATATATTAATACTCTCACTAAAATCTAATGTATATATATAAAAGTTATTCTCTACATAAGATCATATTTGGATATTTATTAAATTAATTATTTTGAATTAATATTTCAATAATTTATCTAAAATATAATTAAATATTAAATACCTTTTATTTACTGAAATGAAAATTACGAACATGAAACTGAATTATTGTTCAATGTTTAATAACCAGAAAGAAACAAATGAATCTTAAGGAGGTGGTTGCCATTCACTGAATTTTTCTGGGTTTGAATCTTGGGATCATCATTTAGAAGAAGAAAAAAAATGTTGAAGTTTATTTGAATCATTCGAGGAGGAAATTTTATTTCTTACATTTAAAATCGATTGCGAAGCTAATTATTAAATTCGGGGTTCAATTTTTGTGCGCAGAGATTGCTAGCAAAGTCTCTCTTGCATTCTATGTGATTCAGTTGTATTTTTAGTTTTTTAGTTTTTTTTTTCTAGTGTTTTGATATATCAATATAAAAATTTAAAAATATAATAAATTATTTTAATATATCTACAACCATAAAAATACTTTTAAAAAAGATATTTATTATCGTACCCTCAATCACCTAGCAAGGAGGATGGGAGGGCTAATTAACGCCCATGAACCATACAATGAATGGTGGCTATAAATCTTTTCAAGTACTTCAATTAATCAGGTTTTTTTTATATATTATTAATTTACATTTTATAAATTTTAAATTTATTAAAAATTTATATAATTATTACTTTTTATATTCATAAAATTAATCAAGATAGCTCAAATATCAATATTAATTAAAAAAATAATGAATGTTGGCTGACCTTGTGTCCAAGTCAAGAAGGGTCCTTCCTGGCCAATTTGTGGTCAGACCAGCCTGGTTCGTGTGACGTGCCCTTCTCTGGCATCCCTCCAAATACGGGCTACTGCTGATACTTGAAGGCTTGGCTAGCTGTGCATTTAAGATTTGCACATGCCCTGCCATCAACACAGTAATCGGCGGATAAAATCTTCCGTGACTGTTTTTCTTCTCTCTTTTTTTTAATATTTTTTATTTGAAAATTTATTAAAATAATATTTTTTTATAATTTATAATTTTATTAATGGAAAAGAGACAAATAAACTAGGTTATTAACGAGCCCCAAACCAGATGCACCATTGAATTATTCTTCATACCACTAGTTGTTTTGAAACAGAAAACTAAGTGTCCCTGCATGTACTCTATACTGTGATCATAGTATTTTTATTTATTTTTATCAATTTCTTACTAAAATTTGATTCAATATCAATTGCCCATGAATAATTTTCATTTTATCCTTTGTGAAAAAAGCACATGAAATTGATAATTATCTTATAATTTAAGGGGGCAAAATGAAATTAACCCTTGTTTTCTTATTTTGGTGGTCCCCCCTCCATCATTTTTTCTTCTAGTATACCATTAATTATCGACGGCAGGCACGTTAAAAAAAGTGGGCACATATCTACCCCGTCCTAGGTCACATGTCAATTAATTGATGATACATGTATAGGATAAACTTACCCTTAAAAAAAAATAAAAAATATTGAGTGGAGGTACAAACTAAATAAATAAAAAGGTGGAAAAGTCAAGTAGAGAGAATGTCAAGAATCCAAGGAGATTGTGTCCAGCTAATACAATTAATTGGTAGCGTTTCCTGGTGGAAGCTAACTTACCCTTACAATTTCATTCTGGCAGAACATTTAAGAATTAATGCTCATACTATGAGGATGTTATCTGGGATTCATGAGAGGGGTTCAATTACCATACAACCTCCCCTCAGCCACCGCCCAGCCCACCGCTAGCCCCACCGCACAACCTCCACTCGCACACATTCACTATCTTGTCTGTCACGAGTTAGAGTCTTCAAAGGACAACAGTGTTCACCGAGTTGACGTAATTCTTTTATATAGAAACTTACTCTCGTCATGATAATATAGAATAACCCTAGAAATACTAGAAAACTGTGAATTGCGCTAAGCATAAGAAATTGAGCAAGGCCCGTACCTCTACATCTAAGGTAAAATCATATTCTGATGAATGGCTCTTACTGGCTGTTTATTGAGGCATTCCTGAATCCAACCACCATCTCTACTCCTCTTAACCAAACTATATATATAGACTCATTGTTACTGTGGATTCGCACAGTATAATGAGTTTTTTCCCCTCTGATTCACTTCTCTTCTTTGGGTGGCTTGAGAGCATGCTTGCAATCAGATCTATAAAATTGATTAAGATGTGTGATTAAGATTTGTGCAAGGTTGCAATCAGGTCTTTAAGATGTGTGTTAGGTAGGGTTGTACGAACATTTATATTAATTAAAAAAATTAAAATTATATTTGGTTTAAGTAGCATTGTACCAAATTATAAATAAAGTTTTTAAAAATTACTTTTTTATTTTTTAAGTATATTTAACAAGTAGGGCCTTGAGTAATTATTATTTTGTACTTTGAGTATTTTGTTAAATTTAGAAATTTTTTATTTCATAAAATATAATTAATAAATATTAATTACTTATTCTTTAGACTTTTTGTTAAGCGGAGATATTGGATCATTTACTAAGTTGCTCTTAGCTTAAGCCAGCACCAGGTAAAATTCAACAGCTAATGAGCTGGTAGTTTAATAAAATCCCACACCACAATATTAAATATACTCTAAATATTCCTATTGTGATTTAACAGAATCATTAGCAAGATTTGATTTTTTTATATTTTTTAATTATTTTAATTAGCTGATATAAAAAAAAATTAAAAATAAAAAATATATATTATTTTGATATATTTTCAAGAAAAAAATATTAACTCCTTATTCATTAACCATACAAGTATTGAACTTTAAAAGCAAAAATATTGGCAACTCCTTATTCAAGTGAAATATTTCTAGTTTTTCAAGTTACACGTTTGAAAAACAAATTTTAGAAGTTATTTATAAACTTTTCACCATTATCCTAATAAAAAAGAAATGAATGATAAATTATTTCTTATATATAAAAGCATTTTTTAGTGGTGTAAGAAACTAAAATTATTTTTTTAATATTTTATATATTTAGTGTCACCATTTTAATTTTTTTTTACCAATCTAATATATTTTTTTTTGTAGTTAATATATAGCTTTTTCATGATAATTTTTAATTTGAATGAAATGAAACTAATATTTTATAACTAAATCATCATGAATAAAAAATATTAAGATGACTATTATAAATTATATATTTGATTTTTTATAAAAATTATTTTTAATCTTGATCTACTCATTTATTCAAAAAAAAAAATGTGTTCATTCTCAATAAATAAAACATGTTTTCTAATTTTATGTTGAAAAAAAATCTAGAAAAGGGGAAAAAAATGGAAATGGAAAAGAAAAACAATTTTGTGGTGGTGAACAAACCCTTTCTTTTTTTTTTCTTTCTTTTCCGCAGCCACACGTGTCACACTCAGAGTTTCATCCTTAGTTTTTCTTCTTATCTTCACTCTAATCCTTTTTCGTATTTAATCAATCATATGAGTTATCATAGACTGGGCCCACTGCTTTATGTTTGGCCTTCAAACATAAATTAATAAAATTTGTCTGGGAGCTTTCCTCACGAACTAAAAAGGATAAGTTGTGATCAAGGGGTTTGCTCCTTCTGTGGTCTCAGGTTCGAGTCCTTGGTTGCTCATATGATGGCCACTGGAGGCTTACATGGTCGTTAACTTCAGGGCCCGTGGGATTAGTCGTGGTGCGCGCAAGCTGGCCCGGACACCCACATTAATCTAAAAAAAAAAGGATAAGTTGCGACTCGATTGCGAAGAAGCTATAAGATTTCTCCACAAAAAAAAAAAAAAAAGACAGCCATATTTCTAAAAAGACATCACGCCCGGTGGGACTCGAACCCACAATCGCCTGATTAGAAATCAGACGCCTTATCCATTAGGCCACGGGCGCCCCTGTTCGAGACGGTAGAATATATGTATATATATAATCTTGGAGATGCATGAACAGTCCTCCGTTTGTTTTTATGAAAGCAACCATTGATATATAACATGTGGCAAGAAAATATATTAGATGCAAATAAAATATTTTATTATATAGAAAAATAATAAACATAACTTTTCTATTTTTATTTTGTAATATACTCTTCGTAAATTAATTTTATTAAATTTAATGGTCATGTGCACTGCACATGATAGTTTCAATATTAACCGGGAAAAAAATCGCTTTTTATGTAAATGAAAATAAAATATTTATTAGTGCTGGGGTTCGAACATAAGTCAATTTAAGCACCCAAAAGCATAAATGTCATTTTAAATTATAAATTTTCGAAATAAATATATAACTTAACTTAACTTATCTCGTATTATGGAAAATCACATGTAGTTCTTAATCTCTTACCAGATAATTCTTTACTATCATTATTATTCATTTACAGACTCATCAGGTGAAGCATGAGATTTTAGACGCATTTCTAAATTGAAATATTTTTAATTAATTTAGGTTTTAAAATATATTTTATTTTACAATGTTGTACTAAAAATACATTAGTACGTAAGTTTATTAATTTTATGTCATATTGAAAAACATAATCCATAATCAACTAAGAGAATTTTTAAATTTAAAACTAGAAATTAGTGATAAATTTAAAAAGATTTTTAGATAAAATCGAATAAATTAGAGAAAGGTTTTTTTTATCAGAAAAGATCTAAGAAAATTAAGAATAGATTTATTCCAGGAGAAATAAAGAAAATCAATAAAAAAATCACAGAGATTAATTTATTGAAAAACGAATGTGGAGTTATCTTAGTAAGGTTTATTTAGGGTTGATGGAGGGAAGGGTAGAGAGGGTGGTGGTTGACGTGGGGGTAATGATGGATTGGGGTCCAGCTCTTAACGCTAAGCCAAACGCAAATCCAGAAGGAGACTTGCAATAGAAACCCACACGAAGACCTCCATGAAAACGTGAAAGCTTTCTCCAAACTTACAGCTATCTAAATGTTCATTACAGCTTACCAAAATCTCACTAGAATACTATTTCATGTGTCCCTTGTTCTTTTAATGTATTTCTTTTGATAGTTTGGTGTGGGATCTGCTAGCTTAGTTATTTTAACATGGTTGGTCGACTGGAGATTATTTAGCATTTTCTTTTCTAAGAGAGAACAGGACCGTTCCTTTCATCTTGCTATCCACCAGCAGCTTGTTTAGCATTGTTCATATATATATATATATATATATATATATATGAGGCAAAAGGCACGAGCATTGCAGTCTGATGATTTTCGATATCTTTTGTAATTAATTAATTTGTCTTAAGAAATTTTAGGATCTAAGAAACGTCTAATCTGTTGCTAGATGATGGTAGGAATATATAGTGATAATTCCAACCTAACTAACTTGTAATTATCATCCCTCTCTCAATTAATATCATTTTCTGAAATTTTAGCATTACTGGAAATAATTTTATTTTGATTTTTTTTTATGTAAATAAAAATTCATGTATCATTCAAGTTAATTAACATATATAAAAGTTAGGCTAAGATTTTATGAAGATTCAATGATTAAAAAATGAGATTAATGTGTCATAAGAGAGAAAGATGAAAGAAAAAAATAGGTCATCGTAAACCCATTATGGCTCCTTTTCAAACACTTAATGCTATTAGAAATATCGTGATAAGATGATTCTAATAGGTTTTTAAAAGACTATCAAACAAGATCATAATTAATTATAACTTTTATTCAAGATTAATTTAGAGTTAATTATGATCTTATTTTGTGATTTTTCAAAGTGTAGGTAGAATTGTATTGTTGGGATCTTTTTAACAGTGTTGTAATCCATTTTTGGGTCCCGCACAAAAAAAAAGAAAATAATATATATTCAGAAGAGAAAAACAAAAAAAAAAATTAATACCAATAAGAAGAGGATATTGAAGCCCCTAGTAAATGGTCTAAAACTGGTTTAGGAGGTTAAAAAATACAAAAATTAAAATTTAACAGTATTTTATTGACTAGTGGAAACCCTGTTAACAAAAGAAAATTCAATTTGAGAAAGAAAAGTCTGAAATCAGATGTTTATGAACTCAATTATATTTTATTGAAGGTTTAATTGAATTTATGGATGGTGTGATTATAAGAAAAATTAATTTTAAAATCAATTTGGGCTTTAATTAAAAGAAATTAAAGTTCTGGGGTCAAATTATAATTTTTGAAAGTTAATTTGGTCAAACTAGGGGCTTAATTGCATAAATATTGAAGTTTGATGGTCAATTAGTGACTTAATTGAAGAAATCCAAAATCAAGGAACAAACTAGAAAAAACGTGTAAATAAAAGGACTATAATTAAAACCGAATCAGTGGCCAAATTAAAAAGATTAAAAGTTTATTGATCAATTGAGGGTCAAATTGCATAAATTAGAGATCAATGATCAATTTGGAAAAGACAGCAAACTTCAGAGCCGAGGATTGAATTTGACACAGATGCAATTGAATTGATTTTTAAAATCAAAATTGCAATTGAGAACTTGATTGAACAAATTACAAATTGAAAACGGATTTGGACTTGGACATGCTTTTACCGTCCTTTTCTTTTAAATGAAATGGCGTGTTTTGTCCAAAACGTCGCCGTTTCATCCATTGTTTATTAAAAAATAAAAAATAAAGACCAAAATGATGTCTTTTTGAACGACACTGTGAGTCTTCTTCTTTCCCTAGACCCGCGAGGCAGGGGAAGAAGAAGATTTTTCTCTCCTGCTTTTCTCCTCTCCCTTTCTCTCCTAAAACTAAAAAAGACATTGACCTAAATCCTTCCACTTGCCTAAGCTCTTACTCGTGGCCTAACACGGTATGGAAAATAGAGGGGACGTGCCCCTCTGGCAGTTTTTAGGGCAGCTGCACAGTGGCCGCCCCTACCACTTTTCCCCTGTTTTTGCCTATAAATACAGGGAAAGAAAGAGCAAAAAAGAGGGTAGAGGACCGAAAGAGAAAAAAGAAGGAGCAGAGAAGAGAACGAAAAATTAAGAGAGAGAAAAAAAATGAAGAAGAGAAGGGAAAAAAAAAAAGAGAGAGAAAGAAAAGAGAAGCAGAATATGGATAAAGTGGAGAGAACCAAGAGAGGGAAAAAAAAAAAGGAAAAAGAGAAGAAAGAACAGGGAAAGAAATGGTGAGCACCATCATCTTCGACACCTCCACCATCTCTAATAGCTGCGTCCTACCACCTCTATCCCCGCTAATAGCATAGTAAGCGACCACAGGTCAGCCTTCTTCCCTCTCTTCCTCCACTTCCTTCTCTTTTTTTTGCTTCTTCTTAATTCTCCATTATTCGCGTTGCACGTGAACAATGGAGAGGCCCACTTTTTAATGGGCTGGCAGTGTCGACCCAGCCCAAAATGGTTGGGTCCGGTCTGGCCCAATGAAAAAAATTCCTTTCTAAAATTGTAATTTTTCCCGTGTTTTTGTACTAAATTTTGCATACGGCCAAGTGTCTCAAAGCTAAAAAATTATATCATGTTTTTTATCATACACCAAAAAAGAATGTTTTAGTATGCATTTTGGTTTTAATAGCTAATTTATTAAGTTCAAGAGAACATTAACTAATATTTAAAAAATAAAAAAAAAATATTTTTATTTGGTTTTAGTACCAGGGATTACAAATTTACACATAAACGTATTCTTAGTATTAAAATATTTATTTTATTTTTACTTAAATTTTTTTATCAAATCATAAAACAATACAGCTTATCTTAAGTAGAGTGTATTTGAGGTGCTAATACATTCTTTTTATACAACCAGTCTATGTACTCTATCTCTGAAACTAATTAAGGTTTTTAGTTACTAAAATACTAGGTGGTAACTCTCATTTTTTTTTTCTATAAAAAAGATAAAAATTCCTTATCTTACCATATTTTACCTAAATATATCTTTATATTTTTTTGAGTGATGACCGATTATCATGACACCGCACACGTGTGACAAACAATACCAAATAAGTAAAAAATGAAGTCTTGGTGATTTATTTTTTAATTTTTTTTGTGTCACATCATTTTATTTCTTCTTTCTTGAACAATAAATCTTGAATTTTATTTTTTTATTATTAGATTTTTATAAAATTTTAAATTGATTTTTATTTTAATTAATTAATTTATAAAAAATATATATTTAAAAACATGACTGCATAACCGCTATTAAATAAAAATCGGTTACGAAAATGACATTGATAACCAGGGTTTTGTCTATTTTTAAAGTACATTTTCAACAGATATTATTTTTCCATAATTTTTACCATATCAAAAGGAATAAAAAATGGTAAATTACAGGCCCAGAAGACAGGACAATCATGGCGTGGAGGAAGGTATAAAATAGTTGGGGGACTGGTGGGGGCATTAACAGCTCTATAGTCTATACCGACAGCTATTTAATGTGCCCTCGTCTGCTCCATAGAAATCCCTCTCCTCATCACCTAAAAAACCAGAAGCCTCCTGGTCTCGTGCATTTTATTCCCTTTCTGTTAAAAAAGGCAAAACCCTGCTCCCTTTCACTCCTTTCTCTCCCCCGTACAACTCTTCTCCTTCTTCATCGAAATATAGAGGTCTTATACTGGGTCTTGTCAACTTCAGATTGATTTGTAAACAAAAAAATGAGTTTCTTCTCGTTAGTGACAGGAAGGCCTGGTCCAAGTGGGTTTGGATCAGCTTCTACTGCTGAGCAGGTTACAGAGGGGATCGATGCTTCTAATCTTACTGCCCTTGTCACTGGTATTTGTATGCTTTTTGCATGTCACTATTTCATTTGTATGGTTCAATTCCCAATTACGTGTTTTTGTGGTTACAGAGAGTTTTTTTTTTTTTTTCAAGAATGAATATTTTTTGTTGCTGTCTCTATTGCTTGTTTGGTTGGCTTATCTGATTTCTGATCCATTGCCAGCTTTAATTTTTTTTTCTTACAGGTATGACCTCTCATTTGCAAATTATCTTGAAAGGATTTTGAAGTATTTTCTAAGAATTTGTCCAGAACTGTGACCTCATCGTGTTTTTATGGGCTGTGAATGATCACTTATGAATTTGGATGCAGGTGGAGCAAGTGGAATTGGTTTGGAGACGACAAGAGTGCTGGCTTTACATAAAGCCCGTGTCATTATTGCTGCCAGGAACATGGATGCTGCGAACGAAGCTAAACAACTTGTTCTTAAAGAGGATGAAAATGCCCGTGTTGATGTCCTAAAACTTGATCTGTCCTCTATCAATTCCATTAGAGAATTCGCTGTTAACTTCAATGCTCTCGATCTGCCTCTCAACATCTTAATGTGATCTCTCACTCTCTTGTTATAAAATCTAGATATATCCAGGTACTCCTGCCAGCCTGATACATGCAAGATTTCTTTTTTATGTTTCAGAAACAATGCTGGCATCATGTTTTGCCCCTACCAGCTCTCAGTAGATGGAATAGAGATGCAATTTGCCACAAATCACCTGGGTATGTATCTGTACTATTATGTATAGTTTAAGACTTGACCAACGCTGGCTGGTATTGATGTTTTTTTCCCTACCACAAAATATATGACGCTGTTAATTACAATCAATTAATTTGCACCATTAATTATCAGGTCATTTTCTCTTGACAAATCTGCTCCTTGACAAAATGAAAGACACTGCAAGAACCACCGGTGTTGAGGGGAGGATTGTGAATTTGTCATCAGTTGCCCACATGCACACTTACAAAGATGGGATCCAGTTCAATAATATTAATGACAAGAAGAGGTACGTGGCCTCTTCTTTCTACAAGTGATGTTGATTTTTTTTTCCATGAATATTTAATTATGATTAGCACATTTTTATCTAAACCATGCTTCGAATGGTGTCTGAGCCATTGTTTCTGCTACAGATATTCTGACAAAAGAGCTTATGGCCAATCCAAGTTGGCAAACATACTGCATGCCAAAGAGCTTTCCCGTCGCTTTCAGGTAAACACTAAAGTTGCGGTCTGCTTCCAACTTGCTCATAAACGAGAAGAATAAATTCCAAATTAAGAATATCCCTGAACTTTGCTCTCAGTTTGCTCTGCATGGAGCATGCCTGTAATATGTTGCGCCGTAGCTATGCGTCATCCTGGTGTAGGTGTTAAATAAGAAACAACTGAAGGTTCAGAGCAGTTTGTTTTAGCAGCGTGGGCTAAAAAAGAAATAAATTTTAAAAAATATTTAATATATTTTTAAATAAATAAAAACATTCTCAAACCAACTAACAAACCACCGTGGATTCTCCGCCCAGAAAAGACAGAGCAACTATGGGCTTAGAGATCCAACATGATGGAAGCAAGATTTCATAAAATGGACGGCTATGAAAGGCGATTTCCTCGACAAGTTGAGTATCAACTGATTCATTCAGTTGGGTTAGATTTTTAGATAAATTATGAGTCGCTTTGACAGGAAGACAGCTCAGTTTTTAAATTTAAATTTTATTTTTATAAAATTAATTTACAAAGCTGGATCAAACCCAATCTCGTCCAGTCCAACCACCTCCCAACCACAAAAAAGTATAAATAAATTAATGAATAAGTAAAAATAATTTATATATATAACACAAAGTCTTGACCTAATGCAGAATAGAATAAAGTAACTAATATGAAAATAATATATCTAGTTTTGATTTTATTATGAAGACATGCAGATTTTGTTGATCTCAAATTATAAAAATAGATTTTATTATGAAAAACCATACAGGTTCTTATAGAATTCCATGTATTAATATTGGCATGAGCTTTACTCATAATTAATACACACACTAGCATGTTTGTTTAACATCTTGGGGATTTTTATTTTGTTGAGAAGTTGTATTTTCCTTCAAATATATACGTGTTTTCAATATTATTGTAAAGAAAGAAAACTCTAAAGGAGGCAGATTTGGTCGGTCACTCCATATATACACAGTTCTAGCTATATATAGAGCAGGAATTATCAGTTACTAAATTATGACTTTGAATCCTATTGCAAATTCTTAGAGAATTTTGACGCCCTTTTCTTCGATGCTGTAATACGCAGGAAGAGGGTGTGAACATTACTGCAAATGCAGTCCATCCAGGGTTGATTATGACAAATCTCTTCAAACACTCTGCAATTTTAATGAGTATGTCTTAATTATACCATTACCCTCTATGTTCCAGTACTCCAAAAGCTTTTTTCTTGTGTTATAGTGACCTGATTCTTCTTCTTTGTTCTTTATTATTGTTATTATTATTATTATGGGCAGGAACTTTGAAGTTCTTTTCGTTTTTCTTATGGAAGAACGTGCATCAGGTAGCCTCGATCTTTCTTTTTCATTTTTTAGTAAACAGTGTCATCCCTTTTTCTTTTATTTATATTTTCCTGTTTCTGATGATCTAAGGGGGCAGCCACAACATGCTACGTCGCGTTGCACCCGAGCTTGAAAGGTGTTACTGGTAAATACTATGTGGACTGCAATGGCTTGGAGCCCAGTGCATTTGCTAGAGATGAAGCCTTGGCAAGGAAGCTGTGGGACTTTAGCAACAAGCTGATTACTTCTGTTTCAAAAACTTGAAGAAAAATAAATGCTTAGGTTTACCAAGCCTTAAGGCTTCTCAGTATTATTGGCTTCTCTCTCCCTCTATAATGCAGAGAGGGAAGAACGGAGAGAGATCAGAAGCCCCATATATATATATATATATTCTTAGCTTCTTCCTTTACAATGTACTTTTGTGTGGTGTGATAATTGAAGCAGTTAAACTCGCTCATCGGTTTCAGAGGTCAAGTTGACATCTGATTAATACTTGAATTTCTTCTTTTTAATATTAATCAAAATGGTTTTATTCTTTCCTTTAAAATTGATGCAGTACTGTTTTGCAACACAGCTTATCACTAAATCTATCTATTTATCGATATATATAGAATTTTTTTGCTAATTATTTAGCGATAAAATAAACTATGCTGTGTTGGTTGCAAATGTTGGTGCTGACAGCACCAATATAATAAGTCAGATGATGCTGGTGGAGGTGACGATGGTGAAGCTACTGTTTTAATAATAGTTGTGCTAGAACTAAGATACACACACAAAGTACAATTTTTCTGAAGTTAAAAAATAATCAAATTATAGGATTCTCAGAGTATCCTTTTTCCCTCTTTTTTCCCTTTTCATTTAGAAAACTCCTTTTATTTTTTGAATGAAAACAATCCAAGTTTTTGCTAAATAACTAATTATATTTACTGATAGAGCATGCCTGTCTTCCATGTATGATAATGGAGGAATTTCATATTCATACGTTATTTATAAGTTTATTTTGGATCAATACATTTGTATTTCGCCCTCCTCCAAAACTAAATTACAAAAGTGTTCTTGTGTTCTGTAATTCAACCTCGAAAAAATTACATTGAAAACGCATGCATGTCACGATGCAATAGTACTGGAATTATTTGATCGAAGAACACGCATCCTTGTCCGGATCGATCAACAGCTTTCCAGACATCTCAAATCTCATGTGAATTTTTAAATGGAAATTGTCCAAGCAATATTGAACCTTGACATCAATAATAATAATTAAAATAAAAACAGCTTTTAAACCTAATGAATGCTCGAACCATCATCCTATTTTCAGCTATCTGATTTGTATATGATGAATGGAGGGATGCTTTTAGTCTGTTCATCCAAGAGGAAAACAATGCTTAGAGGGCGGCCTCATCGTCCTCCCACAAGCCCATGGCTCGAACCGCCCAGGCTGAGACAGCAACCACTAGCGCTGCAAAGAGGAGAGAAACAATGGAATCAGTCACAGTCGACCTTTTGAAGAGGTGAGCGGGCAAGCACATGACCTCTCCTGGCACGTCTAGCGGAACCCTAACAGTCCCCTCTTGTTCACACCCTTGCGAAAACGAAGATATTGTTGATACAAATGCAAACTCGGGGGAGAACGAGGCCACTGCCACTGTCAGCGTCAGGAGAGACGTCCATGTAGCAGAATAGAGTACCAGAGGCCATGAAAGCCGATGGCGGAGAGATGTGAAGGGGAGAGACATCTTCAATAAAGGGTTTGAAAATGCTGCAGCTGAGAGATACTGTTAATATAGTATTTGGGGGGGCGGGGGGATTAGATTGACCTAACCTCAACCACTTCTATCATCTATAGGCTATATTTTGAAGATGACATTGATAAATTAAGAAGATGGGACGTGGGTCAGTTATTTTGACTTCCGAGATGGAGCTGATGAGCTCGGATATGACAGGAGAACTACTCTATCTATGGCAGGGAGGGTCACCTGTCCATACTTGAAGACCTGGTGTCATGTTCTTCGCAAAGACGTCATCAAGTGGATCTATTAACCGTGTTCTAATTGCCCAGGAAAGCGCAATAAACACTTCCCCTCTCATTATCTGGGATCGTAGGATCAAAATTTTGTTTTCCACAGAAAAGTGCAACAGAGAGTCTGATGGAGTTGTTCCCTATTCTCAGATACGATTAATGCCATTGCAATAACCAGCCTATTGATTCAAGATAGCAGAATCAGCTATTGAAATGTGATTGTTTTTCATGACCCTTGTCGTTATACTGCAGTTTGAAGCAAACTATCATTTTACCAAGTGGTAAAATGTACGTTTTACAGAAAAATGCCACGGCTAGAGAAATCACCAAAGCATGACGTGAAAAATTCAAAAGAAAAGAAAAGCATAACGGCCACCATCAACTCGGGGAGGAGAAAGCTTTCTCTATCCGGAGACTCAATACCAAGAATCCACCTGCTGCTACAAATAGTGCTGCAAGCATAATGGCCACCATCACCTGCAGCGACATGTATGGGTTGATAAAGAACACAACTGCAATGGAAGCACTTTGCCAGACCTTGAGTTGCGCAAATGCTCCTTCCTGTCACAGAAAAAATCAATACCAGAAGTTGGATTGCAAAACTGCTTAGAACATTGAATGAATTACAGTATTTACAGGGGATTGCACTTCATAGAAGCTCTATTTATTTAATGGAAGATGAAGTTAGGTTTACAGGTGTGTGACTGACATTGTATAACCATCAAAGTAACAAGGGTAGAATTGTATGAGCATATGAAAGAATAATAAAAGTGTAAAGAAACCAAGTTCTGGGCAGAATACACAACAGAAACAAAAGTTATTTAACATATTGATATCTTCTCCCCTGGGATTTGTGTAGAACACCAACTCTTTTACTAATCCAGAGACATTAAGAAGAGGCTGTGACTCTTGCAGAGCAAAACTCACAACAAAAGGAAGAGATGATCAATTAAATAAATAGAGTTAACGGATACCGTATCATGCTTGAAAAGTATTCCAAGCAAAGCACTAAGTTGTGTATTGATTACTCCATCACCAATGCCCAACATGGCTGCCATGAGAAGTGGGTATACAATGCCAAGTACCCCACTTGTTAAACTGCAATATGGCAAGGTTGAATTGTAAATTGGAAAGATGATCTTCAAATTAAATAGTAGAGAACTTCATGTTCCCCAAACTTTTAGTACAGCAATACTACAAAAGCAGATATCAAAATACCTGTATTTAAGCAGAATCCAGAGAAATACAACGGCCTGAAGAAAAAGTCCAGCAGAGACAATCCACGTGATTGAAAAAATACCAGAGGTGAGTCTTCCAGCTGTGAGGGAACACTGAGACAAGTTCCAATAACAAGTTGAGACTAAATATCTACATCACTCAGTCAAATAATTAAAAGCAGCATCAGTTTGCACGGGATTCTGCCTTTTTTTAGCAAGCATAGAATATTATAATTTGATCCCTATGACAGACCCAAATCAATTATCGGCACATCATAGTACTAATTAAGAGAAGTTCCAATTCAATCTCAAAAGAATATGATTATTGATTATTCAATTAGTACAGAGAAGCAAAGGAAGAAATTCTTTTCGCATCTATGATGCGCATGCACATTATGGTCCAAGGGAGAGCACATATTTGGTTATTCTACAATTTTTGCTGGAACAAGGACAGGCGGAAAGACTTGCGGATCTGATGCATAGGAATCAACCAAGGCACTACAGCAAGCTGTTGCAACTGAAATACGAGAAACAATAAAACTAAGCATTCCTATGGAACTTACTATTGTATCAAAAGCACCGTATACTGCCATCGAACCCCCAACACCAGACACACCAAGTGCTGGAGTTACAATTTCCTTGGTGAATTCAGCCCTAAAATGAAAACATGCTCCATGATTAACAAAAGCTTACAAAGTTAAAGGGAAAAGGAAGGAAGAATACTAGTTCGGCCATCCCAATCTAGCAGTTGCTTCTCTTTCAGATTGATAGCCATAAGAAAATCTCTAGTTCAATGTATATTTACCATACAAATGCTTGTTGTAATCCTGAATATGCAATCAAGGGGATGATCAATAGCATGCGTACATCAAGCAAAGGAGTGATAACTGACTTCGACAGTGATGTTAGAGAAGAACATAAACTGACAGAAGAATCTTTAGGGCCCTCCTCACCTCCATCAACCCTTTTACTTAAGAAGCACATTAATACGGTACCTAAGCTCATACTACAAAGAAACACAGTGAACAATAAAGTTGTACCGCTGGTACTTCCCTCCTGCAATATGTGCAAGAAAATGAGATCAGAAGGAATGTATTAAGCCCACATCTGCATGACATGACATGACATGACATGACAACATATATACAGAATAATGTAACTTATTATCACTACTTACCAGAGCCTGCTTAAGCTAAGCGTCACTTGGACAATGACCCAAGATCTCCACTTAACAAAAGATCTCAAGAATAAACAAAGTATATTTATCACTTATATTTTATAAAATAAAGATTACCATTACTTAACAAAAGACCCTAAGCACAAAATGAAGAGTGTCCAAGATTGTACTTGTCATATATACATAAAAAATAATATATATATATATATATATATTGAAAAATCTAATTTATAGTTGTGTCCAAAACCACTATTCATCTTCAACTTGCTCTGGTACTTAACAGCACAGAGCAATTTTCCATGTGCACCTTATTAACTTCTTTTATTCTATAAAAAGTAAAGATTCTCTTAGATATGCAAAATTAACTTTTTTGTAAACCAAATGAAAGAAAAGAATCAATCGTCAAAGCTTCGTAATCGTAAAAAGTCCAGTCTTGTGTTCTTTTAACTGCCATTAATGAGGAAAAAACTAAAACTAAACAAATAAGGTTCTGACTTGTACTATCTCCCTTTAAAAGTGTTGTTTTGGGATTTTTTTATTTTATTTTTTTACCAAACATACCTCTAACTTAATTTATTTTTTGTCGAAAGTTGTTTATGAAAAACAATTTTTGAATCATGACTCAAAGGAAATGTTACTTTTCATAAGCCATGCCAAAGGCACTCTAAATAAATAGTGAACCCGGAAGAACAGCACTTGCAGTTCCATTTCCCAGAGAAGAGCAAAACAAACAAGTAAATAAGCAGTGAACCAGAAGAACAGCACATACGGTTCCATTTCTCAGAATAGCAAGAGAGATTAGATTTCCAACAAACTGCAAAATCAAAAGAAAAGGAGCGAATATCAGATCTTTACAAGCTTAGCAAATTAGAATTCATCATTAAACTCAATCATTCTGGCTAAAAAGCAAGCAACCAAATTTGTCAAAAAGTTGTTGAAAAGAGGGAAAAGGCACCTGGTGGCCAGCAAACATTCCCCAAAATTCTCCATTGAAGTTGCCAATTACAGTTCCTTCATGTAAGTGGTAATCTCTCGCTTGACTGCGTGCCGTGGAAGTGAGATATGTACCCTGGTGGACCATAATATTACGGTGAGGAAACATACACAAGCATACTGATAAGAGAATAATGATCCTGAAAAATCAACTAGCACCTGTCCAACCCATATTACTGAAGCAGCAAAGCCAAGGTACAAAGAAGCCGGTACCATCGTATACCTGTAACGGAAACAATTAGACAATATGTAAGCAAATTCAATCAAAATTCAGTCATGAGGCCATGCCCATCACACACATGTATATATATAAAGTTGATCAGAATTAAAAGAAAAGCGGTGATTACCAAGTGGGCTTCAAATTAGCAGCAATGAACAACCAATAACCAGAAGTGCCGAGAAGCACAGCATTCTTTGACCCCATAAATCGAACCGCCGAAGAAGCAATTAAAGAGAAGAATGTGAAAGACACATACAGTATCCCTAGGGAAATCGTGCCCATATCATCCTTCTGAAAAAAGAAAGAGAATAAATAAAAAAATGATGAAATTCAAGCAAAAGGAAATCTATATGTAATATATAGGGTCCTCACAGTATTGAGAGTGGTCTCTAAGTTCTGAGCAGCACCATAGGCCAGGAAGATCAACAAAAAAGCAGAGCTCAAGATATGAATATCTTTCGTGTGGTTCCTGAGAGTCTCCGAATTATCAACAGAAGCAGCAGCAGCAACAAAGGGTTCCTCTTCGTCTCTATTATTATCCATAGAAGCCATTTTTCTTTCTTTCTTTTGACTTGTGATTAAATGAGTCTCTGCTTCTCCTTCTCCTTCTTCTCCTCCTACAAATATATATATATAAATATAAAGAGAGAGAAGAAAGGAGTGATAAGAGTACAAGAGAGTGAAGTTAAATACCGGAAGGAGGAGCGCCGGCTGGAATCTTGTGAGCTAGAAGAAGACGACAAGTGAAAGAGTTGGGAGATTTGGATTTAATTTTATTTATGGCTATGTATATATTTATATTTACATATGATTTGATTTGATCGCCGATGAGATGGAGGTGGAGGAGGAGAAAAAAGAAGAGAATCAGGCTGAATCTGTTTTTTTTCTAACGATTCCTTGAGAACCAAAATAGTTTTTAAAAACTGTATGTGCAATTGTTTTTGTAAGAAATATTTTTTATTTTTTTTGTTTTTAATATTAATTTGTAAATAAAAATAATAAATTAAAAATACTTTTAAAAAACGATAAAAAATAAACAAATCATGACATCATTCATCCGGTTTTTTTCACAAAGATAATCTCAATTTTATATTCATTTTTTTTTTCAATTTTACAATTAAATTTTAATAAATCTTAATTAAGAGCTACTATTTATTTATTTTTAAAATTTTTCATCTGAAATTTTTTTCTAAAAAAAGACTTTATTTTATAAAAAAATTATAGATCGTTCAAAAAACAAAACGACACTCTTATTTTTCAACAACAAATTACCCAGTATATTACTAATCTTGTATGGTAAGATACCTTAAAAAAATATTTTTTTTTAATAAAAATAAAACATGTTAATCATGATTTTATAGAGAAAATAAATCTAGCCTAACTATATGGGTTGGGCATCCTAACCCTAGCATACATTAAAATATAACAATTATAAATTATTAATTAGCTATATTTTTAGATTTTAAAAACATGGCTAAGCTAGAATAATAAAAATACATATTTAAAATTAAACTTTCTAAATAATTCAACAATCAAAGCAAGTAACCAAATTAGTTAAAAAAAATTGATAAAACATCTCTTAAGCTAAAAAAAATACCATTAAATTAATATTCATAACATATCAAACTATGCATAAATTGTTATAAACTTGTTATGTGTGTGTGTGTGTGTGTTTGTAGTGATGTAAATATTGATTTATAAGTTAAAAAAACATGCACAAAAATATGTTCATTGAGCGGCACTTCAAATCAAAATTTAAGTATATATCTTGTAAATAAAATATACTATTTGGATCCATAGTTTATTTCATTTTAATCTTCGGCTTTTATTAACCTTTACTTGGTCTAGATTTTATTTCTCTTTTTGATTGGTAAACCTTTTCTTTAGTTTATCTCTTGAATTAGATATAACAAAAAAAAATTCAATTTTTTTAGCATTTCATTTTTTTTCCTTGTATTTTCTTTTCAAAAACTTCTTTTCCTCTCAAAGAGCAGTTGCTCTCTTGTACCAAAAATAAAAAAAAAATCATTACTAATACTTGGATGGTTTTAAAAAAGAAAAAAAAATGGCTCAAGGAAGATTCTTGCCATCCTTTCCTAACCTCTATAGAAAAAAGGATTTTTGATTCATTTTATCATCTTATGGGTTCAATTTGATAAAAAGAAACAATCACAAAAATAGTCAGTCAATAGATTTTTTCTTTTTCAATCATGGTACAAAAATAGTCAATCAATGAATTTTTT